GGAGCGAGGGGCTGCCAGTTCTGCAAACTGGCCCAGTCATCCCAGGACTGCTCCGAGGTATGGCTTTCCATGGAGCTCCAAGCGATTGTGGCCGCTTCAAATCGAAACATGGCTTCTGGCACCGAAGCTTGAGTCGCGAAAGATACCTTCAAAAACAAGCACCATCACCTACCATGCGATGCAAATCTAAAAGCATACCACAGCTGTAAACATCAGCGAACCAAGCGCTAAGCGGACAAACCGCTGGGAACCAGAAGGAGAAAAAACACGAATGGATGAGATTTCAACCAGCGGTGCGAACCGCTCCACATGCAAAGTATAGTATATCTGTCCCCTACATGTCATAGATATAAACATAGTCATGTGATAAATTGAAATCTGTGTTTAAGCCTCTTCAATGTGTACCCCATCGCTAACTAGCGGTAAATCTTCAGATAGACATGCAGAAAAAGACAGAGAGACAGACAGAGACTTGTAGAGAGTAGAGACAGATAAGTATAACAGAACGAACGAATCGCAACCCGTGGACACTTCGTGCTGCTCACTTTTTTGACATGATGCCTCTGCACGGCGATCATATATACACACCTCAACGTCCAATCGTCAGGGCCCTGGTTGCTTTCTGCCCGGCAGCTCGAGCTCTCTCCAAGATCTTGTCATGGCTAAGGTCTCCCTTCTTCTCCAGCTGGCCTGCAGCTGTTGTGAACGGTATCAGCGGTCACACCGCTCAACCAGCAAAGTAACAACTCTGTCCGACAAGACAAAACTATATCAGGAAGACACAGTGATGTCATACAAAACATACTCAAAAAAACGAACCAAGATACTCACAGTCTTATGGTAGGCCCTCGAATACACACACTCCGGTGTCTTCTTCAAGGCAGCTTTGCGCTTCACGGTCGTCTGCTTCGTGCTTGCTGGCGAAGCGACCTTCTTTGAGCTAGGTCTCTTCCAAACTGGCTCGGAAGCCTGTGGCTTTGGCTGAGCCTTGCACTTTGGCTTCGGTGAAGCCTTCGCTTTCGCCTTGGCCTTGCATTTCGACTTCGGTGAAGCCTTCACTTTCGCCTTGGCCTTGCATTTCGGTGCTGCAGTGACCTTTGCCTTAGCTCCCAAATGAGGCGCCTCAGATCTGGCTTGAGGGTCACCAGTGACAGGCTGCGACTGTGGGTCATCAAGCTGGTGCAACGCATCTGCATTTTGTTGCTCCCGAGGCTGAGTCAGCAGGTTCTGCAGTCGTTGCATCGTTTTGCTCAGTTTGGTCGAGCTGTTGGTCCTGACAAAACTTCCATGGACACAGGGCCGTGGAACAACAGTGAGGCCATCATCAATGAGCATTCAAGACAATCAAGAACTGTCTGGATTGAATCCCTTTAATAATGTTGTTTCATTGCTAGAATCACCAGTGTGCGGATAACAGACCGCAAGCGAAATTACATATTCATGTCAAACATATTTGAAACTGTAAATATTTACCCATGTATATCTTCATACAAACTGGTAAAGCCCCAACAATCTGTCTAATATAGCCAAACCTACTTGTGAATGTCTGCTATACAGTGGCTGCCTGTCTGGCAAATATATACATGTTGAAATCCCATGAGCATGGAAGCGCTTCGAGTTACACATCAAAAGGTTCGAACTGCAAGTTATAGAAATGCATCAATGTATACTTGGTGTTGCAGCCCAAGAACAATACTTATAGAACTGTTGCAAACAAACATCATCTAGATGTCGACCAATGCAAGACAACCGATGCAGCGACCACGCCTGACGACGGGGCTGTGAAGGCACGACTAGGGCTCGTGTAGGGTCGTCTTCTAATGCGAGCTGTGGAGTAACAGGGCGAGCACCTCGGGCAGGAACAGAAGCAGAGGAAGATGGCTCGGAGCCATAGGAATGTGCCATTCGAAATGCAAACTCCATCATCCTCATTTGGGACTCCATCTTTGCAGATTCTGCATCTGCCTCTTGCTTCCCCACTGCGTTGCCACTAGCATCCTTTGGCCACCGCAATTTTGTAGCTCCCTGGGCCATCAGTAGGGTATCCAGGCTCACTCCTCAGGGAAGGCACGTAAAGACCAAAAGCTATAGATAGCAAAAATGGCTTCATGGTCGACGAACAAAAAACCGTATCATCGGGGGAAGTGAAAAACACATTGAAGAACAAACGCCTTGCAAATCATTGCTGTCCAGGAACGGCATTCCACGGGAGGCTCCAAAGAAAATGCAGCCGCGTAGCACTCAGGAGGCAATTGCTCCACCAATCTTGGAAGTACAAACAAGTACTCAGAGTATTGGTGATCTTGGTCCTCCCTGCCATTTTTAAACTCCTTCCACATTTTTTTCAGCGTCTGGATCGCATTGTATCTTTCAAAGGAGGACTGAGGCCGCTCTTTCTCAGGTCCGGCCAAGGCTAACAGGTTCTGCAAAATTCCAAACGTCTGTTCTGAAGGGCATCTCAACCCAAGATCAAAAGCGTGAGCTATCAACGAGACCGTGGCCTCATGCCGAGGCAGTGTCTCAAGCCTCCGCCACAAACCATCGGTCAGAAAGTGAGGCAGCTGTGTGTAGTTTTGTTGTTTCCGCCTATCTGCCATCTCTCTGACTAAGCCAAGCGAAAACATAATCCTGTTCATCAGTTTAGGTCAACTCTTGCAAAAGAAACACATTCAGTATGTAAATCTAATATATACATATATTTACATATCCTAAGAATAAAATGATATGTACACACAGAATGCTGTGACAACATTACAACATCACGAGTAGATATACGTCATATAGAAGATATGGACTGTAAGATGACACCACATGCGTCGTGAGTATCAAGTGAAGCGGGCAAACCGCTGCAAACATCGAAGAGCGGACAAACCGCTACTTACCACAGCGGACCACACCGCTTCACAATCGTCCAACCGCTTCAAACCCAAACAACCCATATCAACCTAACCTGCCTTTTTTTCCATCCACAAGTCTGCAACTCAGTACGGACCTCGACGAAACTCATCTTGCCGACAGCCGCCGCGTTGGCGCCAGACGCCGTACACACGCCATTGAAACTGACGGCTGCTCTCGCCTGGCAACCGATGGTACCTGCCAGTGGCTGCATCAGACCTTGCTCTCGGTTCAGGCGGTACTCCAGCCGTCTTGCAACGTGCACCGCTGACGGTCGGCATTGAAGGTAAACGAGGTCCATGGGCCGATGAGGGTGCAACACTGCCAGCAGGTATAGCAGACGCAGATGTTCCACTGCTAGCCGGCAACGGGCCCCACAGATGCACGTGCTGCAGCATCATGTGCAGCTTCAATGACATAGTGTCCGGGTACTGGCCCATCAGAAGCCAGGTGGTCCAACAAACTTTTGGTTGGATTTCCAGGTGCAGGCACCAAGCTGGCTCTTTCGATGCTATAGGGTCTCCAACCAGAACTCATAGTGCTCCCAAGCGCAGCGCCCGCAGCATCGGCAGCACCGGCGCCATTCCAGGTCGTGGTTGCACCGCTCGAAGATGAAGGCGCCGAAGTGCTGCCTCCCAACTCCTTCCTTCGCTCGTCGGGCAGCTTCTATCATCCATGCAGGTGGTCCTGTAAAGCGGTGTGACCGCTCACTTCTCAAACCCTATACAAAAAAAACTGCTGCGCAACAGAAACACCACATAAAGTCATCAAAAAGTCCTGTCTTCGAATTCTCATCGGTAGCCTTATATCCCTTCAGCAGCAGCCTCCAAGGAGCAACAGGCTGTGGAAGCTTCGCTTTCGCTTTCGGAGTCGGCGGAGCTAACTTATGAGTTGCCGCGGTCACAGGAATCTCCACACCCTCTGGGTTTGGATCAGGAATCACAGGAATCTCCACACCCTCTGGGTTTGGATCAGGAATCACAGGAATCTCCACACCCTTTGGGTTTGGATCCACGCTGTTAGCGTCAGGTGGTGCTTCAGGTGCCGGCCATCCCTTCGGAGCCATGGCCACTTGTTGAATCTGTCTATAAAAATCAAACAAAAACTTCATATGTTTTAACCTAAACCTTCAATCACCTGGTCAACCGCATGGATATACATGTGCTCACATACATTTATGCTTACAGAACTTGAAAGCGTGACAAAAAAAAACCAAATGTCTTTCCTTGTTGTCAAGAGAGTCGATCCATCTAACCTTTCTTGACCTTGAAACTAGACATGAGAACATACACTTGTTTGTTGCTGCAACATACATATCTTCTGAACCAAAAACCAACAAACAAATCAGCGGACACACCGCTTTGAGTCAAAAAACAAAAACCAGCGGACACACCGCTCCAAGGCAAATAAAATCATCATACTTGTGCTTTTACATATGCATTTAAAATGTGATATGTGTGGTATACATATATATATATATGTACATGTCACATCCAACGATGATGCCGCCGTACCCAATGATGATTGTTTGCTTACAAAAAAATGTGCAGTGAAGACATCACAAAACAATTGCTTTGACATTACTAGCATCGTTGTGGTCAAAACATTGTTTTTTGGGTAGTTTGAACAAAAAATACCGTGCACATGCAGAAAAAACAAGAAAACCATTAAGTAGGATAAGTAAAAATAAGTAGACAGAAGTAAACATAAGTAACTTCAAATAACTTAGCCCACTTCCTTTTGCAACCATAGTTTAACGGTGGTTTTACTTAAAACTACTTACAAGTAACTTAGATACGCTACTAACAACTTATAAGTGGGATAAGTTACCCAAACTACTTATCCTACTTGTGACCTACTTATAAGTAACTTAACCTAGTTAAAACCATGTTATAACCTACTTACGGCTACTTATAAGTAAGCTAAGTGGTAAGGGACCTTAAAGTATGCTTTCTTGCTAGCTCTTGTTTGCTTGATCCATCCAAAGCTAGCAGATTTCTGCCACCCCTTGCCTTCTCCAGGCTTTTTCTTACACCCCTTGGCTGTGGCTGGCTTGTGGGAAGCTGCCTTTGCTGGCTTCTTCTTAGAAGCAGTGACTGCAGCAGGCCTCTTCATGTGAGCTTGAACCAGCTCTTCAGCTGCAACCAAAGATTCTTGGGTGCGTGGAACTGAGCTTTGGATTTCCCACACTTCAGTGAGCCTTTCTTGTTCTTCCTCAACAGGATCCACAATGGTGATACCTGCTTTTGCCTTCTTCAGGCTGGGCTGCTGTTCTGGCTGCTTCCCACTCTTCCTCTTGTGGCTGCTGCTTCCTTCTCCAGGCTGGGTGCTGCCTGGGCCATCTAAGGCCTGCAGCAGCTTCTGGAAGACTGGTGGTTTTTTTCTCTCCAGTCTTCATGTTTCCCTTTTTCCCGAATGCGTAGCGAAGGGTTCCCGTTTATAGTTGGGGGTGTGGGGGTTGGACATGTGTTTGCATGGCCTGCGTCGTGTCGTCGTCTGTCGTCGTCTGTCGTCGTCTCTCGTCGTTTGTCGTCGTTTGTCGTCGTCGTCGCGTCTCAAATTTGCTGCCATTGGGGGAAGCTTTTGCAAGTGACTTTGCATGGACGTGTCACATGTGAGTTGGCACCGCTAATCCATTGTGATTTGCAGGAGCAGGACATGTCGCGCGAGAAACGTGATGCGTTTCGCTGCACAGGTGCAGCGTTTTGTGAGATCGGCTGATTGCTCCGCAGTTCCATTGGGATTAGCGTGTGGAGAGTCGTGTTTTTGGGGTGTTGGATGTGGCCGTGCCATTGGGATTTGCGTTTCAGGGTGTGGCATCGAAGCCTTGTTTTCGTGACAAGTCTCAGCTGAAATGGCGATTTTGGTGGATGGGAGTGTGCTCTGAACGGGTCGAAATCATTCCAAACGTGTGGTGTGGTCGAAATTGTGTTGAAGCTCACATGCGATGATATTGTCACTTTTCGTGGCAGGCGCAGGACTTCGTGCGGGTTTTGAGGCGTGGAAGTGCGATTCTCGTGGCAGGCGCGGGGAATCGTGAGGTTGCGAGGTGTGAGGGAGGTGACATTTCGTGGCAGGCGCAGTACTTTGTGCGCGTTAGACATGTGGATGGGGAAAGATTCGTGGCAGGCGCAGGGAATCGTGAGGTTGTGAGTTGTGGTAGAGGTGAATGTCGCTGTCACATTGGGATTGGCGTGTGAGCGGATGTTGTTTGGAGGGGCTGGAATCGCGAAACTGCTTGGCAGGGCTGCGTGATGTGTGTGCTCCGATGGGTGTTTCCGCTTGACTTTTGGAGGAAGTATCGTACGAAACGCTCGTTTTGCAAACTTTGACGTGTGAGTTTTTAAAGAGGAAGTCTCGTACGAAACGCTCGTTTTGGAGACTTGACGCGCAACCCTCTGCGGAGATCGTGCGTGTCGAGTGTGCGAAATGCAGGCGAGAGTGCGCTTTGACCCATGCGCGCGCAACCCTCTGCGGAGATCGTGCGTGTCGAGTGTGCGAAATGCAGGCGAGAGTGCGATTTGACCCATGCGCGCGCAACCCTCTGCGGAGATCGCGCGTGTCGAGTGCGCGAAATGCAGGCGAGAGTGCGATTTGTCCGGTGCCCAGGCAACCCTCTGCGGAGATCGTGCGTGTCGAGCGCGCGAAATGCAGGCGAGCACTGGCGACTTTGTGGTACAACTTCAGTATGCGGGGTATCTGGGGAGCTGGAAGATGAGAACTACTGCTGGCCCCTGCGTACCGCGTGGAGAGCGCGCTGGGCATATTGGGGCCTCTGTATAGATATATAGGAGTCAAGCGCAGCCCGCGAGGAGAGAAAAGGAACGACGAGCGAGTGTCTCGCAAATGTCTCGTAGGTCGAACAGGGGTCAAAGCTCCGTTATGTCTCGTGATGTCTCGCAATAGGACAACAAAGGTGGGACGTCTACAAACATATATAGTGAGATGTCTCGTGATGTCTCGTAGGTGTCTCCTGGACTTCAGCGCAACGTCTAGATTCAGGTGTTTTTTGGGGGGGCGGGCGCGCAGTCGGGCTCAAGAGAACGAGGCGTATATAGACAAGACAAGTGTCCCTGCAGCATGGCGGAGACGCCCGAGACTCGGCTGGTGGAAACTGCAGAGCAGCAAGCCCAGTGCAACCGCTGCGGGCGGTTCACGGAGCTGAGCGCAGGGCGCCAGCGGTCGGCGCAGTGGTGGTGCCACACATGCTTCGCCCTGGAGAAGTCTGTCGCACGGAACATGGGCGGCTTCCCGGAGGAATTTACCCCGGACGACAAAGCCGAATTCTTCCAGAGGGCAGCACAGGCCTCCAGCGGGGGCGTGAAGTGGACAGTCGTCCGCGCGCTGCTCACGGAACAGCTATACCGTTCGCCGAGAGGAGGAGAGCGCCAGCTCAGTCCAAGCGACTTTCAAACCGCTGGAAGTCTGGGTGAAGGAGGGTTACTGCGAGGACAAGGTAAAGCAGTGCCCAACAGAGCAGCGCCCTCATCTGGGAACCACGTATGGGGTGGCTCTGAGGACCATGACGCGCACGGAGCGCGAGAAGGCCGTGAATGAATATGTACCACGCCGAGAGCAAGAGGCCTCGCGGAAGAAGGGCAAGAAGACAGCGGAAGAGGAACCAGACAAGACGTGGGTGCTTCCCGAGGACCGACCCGGCGCCAAGGCGACGTCGCAGGGCCAGGGCGAGAGGAAACAGGAAAAGGAAGCTGCGAAGGAGGCCGCCAGGAGGAAGAAAGATCGAGGCCCTGGCTACTAAAGGCTTGGCCATGATGGCCCCGAAGGTGAAAGCCCTGCGTGGCGCCGTGGCCAAACCGGGAGCAGGCGTAGACGCGCAACCTCTGCAAGAAGCGTTGCAGAAGTTGAGCAGTTGGACGGAGGCATGCAAAGCGGCCATTCACCAGGCGCAGGCAACGCCTGGCGCCGTTCTGACGTTGCCCTTCGAGAAGGGCGACCTGAAGCCCACTGTGGACGCGGCCGCGGAGACCTTGGCCGCAGCGCGCGAGGCGAAGAAAGAGGCCAAAGCGGCGGCGCCCAAGTTGCCAGGGAAGAAGAGGGCGGCCGTCGAGAACGCGGACACGCCAGCAGCCCCCAAGCGCGTCCGCGTCACAGGCAAGAAGAGCGAGCAGTGAGCGCGCCAGGGACACGGCGACTATATAAGAGATATATACGCGGAGGGAGCGCAAAAGCACTGCGGCGCGCCGCCGCGGACCGCGCTGGACAGCCAAGGGCCTATCTATAAACATTGGCTTCGTGTTTTTCTGGTAGATGTATTATATATATATACGATTTATATATGTAGCAGCGCGAAACATGGGGCGAGGGACATTGATGAGTGACTGGTGCTGGCCGCTGCCATTATATACGTCGTTCAGGGGGCGGGACACAGGGCAGGCGATGAAACGCAAAGCGACGTCCCGGCAGAGCCCGAGACTGGAGGATGGCTTGAGTCTCAGCGAAGCAGGCGACGCGCCTCTGGAACATATGGCACCCCGACAAGACGGTGGCGCCGACAACGGCCCGCCGACGGAGACAAAGGGAGGCCATGGACAGCCAGCCCTGCTTCCAAACGGTCAGGCTACCGAATACGGAGGGGGATTTAGTTGTGGCCAAGCTGCCGGAGATTGTCCAGCACGTGTGCGCGCGAGCGCCTTCCTTTGCAGACTCGTTCGTGGCAACCTTGGGCGAGGAGACCCGGCCAGAACTACACGGAATCCTGTACACAGACGAAGTGATTGGAGGGAACATATTATCTGTTCAGAAGAAGAAGAAGTGCAACATGTTCTATCTTGGTTTCCGGCACATGCTGGACTTCTCCTTGCGCGAAGACGCGTGGCTCTCCGTGGCGGCCGTTCAGACCTACGCTCTACAAGAGGCAGGCGCCCCTCTGTCGGTCGTGGCAGCAGTCCTCGTCCGAACACTCTACGAGAGCGCGCAGCAGGGCTTTGACCTGACGCACAAAGGGCGGACATGGAGATGCTCTTTGGCTCCGCAACTACAGTTTATAGCAGACGGGGAAGCAATCCGCTCGGTATATGGCTTCAACGGCGCTGCCGCCATACGCTGTTGTTGGGTTTGTTCCAACGTGGTGAGCAAGCGCATGAGGGATCTCCCAGCCGGGTTCGTCAACATCGCAGAGGTGGATGCCACTCTGTTTGTACCAGCGACGGACAAGGAACTCTTTGACGCGGCTGCCGCTATGCGCGGCCTATCCCGGGCCCGTCGGGCAGCCTTTGCTAAGAGCAGCGGCGTGAAACACATCCCCGACGGCCTGTTAGCAGACCCAGTGGGTCGCACGCGCATGCCGCCATCGGCGGCGCTGTTTGACTCCACGCACTTGTATTTCAGTAACGGGCTGGTGTCATGGGAGATGGCCCTGTCGCTTGCAAAGTTCAGGGAATGTGTGCCTGGCTTCACCTTGGACGCAATACGCGAGACTGTGGGCCAGTCAGTGTGGCGCAAGCAGGGCCGGAACACACCGTGCACGGACAGGATGCGGGCGTGGTTCACGGACAAGTTCTGGAGCGAAGAACAGTTCAAGGGCATGGCCAGAGAAACGCATTCGGCTTTTGCGGTGTACTATCGCGCCGCGGTGTCTGTTTTGGACGGCGTGGAGGGAGCGCAGCCTGCGTTGACGTCCCTCTCTGCGCTGTGGCTGGTCTGCCGCGAGCTCCGATCGCTGTACTACAGGCCGCGCCGGATCCGCAGCTCCGAAGACACACGGCGGCTCGAAGTGGCTGCGCCATCAGCGCAAGTTCATCGAGGCGTACGGCGAATCTGCTGAAGCCGAAACACCACTGGCGTCTACACTTGCCCCAGTGCGCCCTGCGCTTGTCTGCGCTTCCCTGCGCTGAAACGCATGAGCGCAAGCGCAAGGTATACAAATCAACGTCCACTGCGGGTCGCTTTGACGGCTTTGTGGACACCAGCCAGGCCTTTCAGCTCTCTGTGCTGCAGACTCTCTTGACTCAGATGGTCTGCCATGCGCAGGACGTGCCAATGACCACATGGAGCACAACAGGCGCCGTGTCCGCCGCGAGCAAAGCAGTCTGCGCCAGCCTGGGTCACGCTGACCTGGCGCAGTCCCAGGGCCTGTCCCTCTATAGGAGCAGCGTCTGCGCTGGCGACGTCTTGCTGTGGGGGCGGGAGCGGGGCGGGCGCGTGGTGGGCTGTTACTCCGCTGACGCGGGTCGATGGGTGGAGCTGGAGACCTTGATCTGCGAGACGGATCACCCATGGGGGTCCACTTGGAAGCTGAGCACAAAGAAAACGTTCATCTGGGAGGTGACTCGAGATGCCTGGTTCCTCATCCCACACTTCTGGCGGACTCGCAAGCACCGCAGTGGCGCGGAATCCTTCGACTGCATCCACTGAGTGAAAAAGCGTGGCGAAAGAGCGTGAGGGATACGTCGTATATATACATTGCGTATTTGATGGTGCGTTGACCGCTCTGATACACTTTGCAACATCGAAAACAAGAAAAAACATACGTGACAAGTTTTTTTAAAGAAACAAGGCTGTTGAACTTATGATCGATTACACGGACTTAATGACCTTACATGACTTAGGCCTAAGTGGACTTACATGGGCTTAAAGATAAGTTGTTATAACCCAGGTTATAAGTAGGCGGCCCCCTAAGTAAAGGCATAAGCCAGCTTGGAATTTCTTAATCCAGCAAGTCTTGGCAAATAACCTTGGCCTAAGCCTACTTTGTCCGCTGCGGACTACTCTGGTCCCGGGCGCAGGGACGAAAAACCCCCGTCCAACGGGTCCACAGGGGCCACTCCTCGGGGTCACCCTGGGCTGGCATGAAGCCAGACACACTTATAGAACTGCGTACTGACTTGAAAGCGGTTGCCACACGCCAACCTGGGTTTCCAAATCCTGAACAGTCCAAGAAAACCCTATGGACCCTCGAGGTCTGCAAAAGGAGATGGGGCCAAAAGCTCAAGTCGAAGTCGAAACGACAAATGACGGCGTTCGTGATCGTTCGTGCATGACTGCCGAACTCATTAGACCTTTACAAAAGCTTAAAATTCAGGCAGGTACGCCGAGTTGATCAGACTCGGTATGCCGTGATTGTGGTAGCTTCGTTGAGTGCGGTCCCACAATCACGCCGGAGCACACTCAGAAAGGAACCTTGTGACTCCAAAGGTGACACACACACACACACACACACACCTGCGCGCGTGTCGCAATTCGATAGGGGAAAGGTACGAAACGCACCTGTCGCGGAAACACCCACTTTTGCGTAGTACTTTCATTGGGATAATTTTCTATGTTCCAGGCTCTGGCTCTGGGGCCTTGTTTTCAGCATGGTTTAAATTTGCGCACCGGTTTCTCTTTTTTGGGTCCGGACCATATGAGATGATCTTGCAATGTCAAGGTGTTAACAACACTGGCACCTAGTTTCTCAATGGCGGCGCAAAGATGCTCCAAGCAAAGAGAGAGGTGGATAGAGAGAGGGTGAGTGTGTCTTCGTAGAGGCCTGGCAATAAGTTCGTCCGTGCAAAATTGTGTGAAACCTGGGGATGTTGCTGGCGTACAGTTCCATGTACTGTAGTCATATTATTGAGTTACAGTAACCCATCTCTCCACCAGTATTGAACGTTTTGCAATTTCATTGTTTTACAGTCTTGTGACATTTGTGCTCTTTATGTTTGATTTGTCCATTGATCCACTGCCACCAACGACAACGCCAGCGTCGACATCCATGGCTTTGAAAGCGACCAAACTGGCCGAAATACACCAACATCAGCCCCTCATGCAGCAAAACCACAGCAGGACAAAGACAGCTATTATCAATCTCTCCGTAGCATTGCCAGAACATTTGGTCAACGCAATCAACACATAATAGTGGGGGATTTTAATGCCAAACTCTTGCGACACCTTCCAGAAGAAAGTGAACATTATGATTATAGGCCCATGGGTTTTCAACGAGAACGAGCTGGAAATAGGAGACCTACCCGGCCCCCAACTTGAAAAATCGAGACATGTTCACCGAATTCTGCCTAGAAAACTACGTCGTGTTTTCAACGTGGTTCCAAAAATCAGCTCAAAAGCTTATCACTTTTAGATATCCAACAGCCAAGACCTTTGACCCCCCACACCAAATTTGCACAACTGGATTATAAATATACATATAACTCTATATTCTTAAAAAGCAGTGACGAAACGCAATGCGCAACACTGATACAACGCCGCGCACAGGTATAGAATCCGATCACAAGCTTTTAACGGGAACGATCCAAATGAAACTAGCAATGAAGCGCGCGCATAGACCCCCGCAAATCCCAAGTATGGGAGCCCCACGCGCAAAGAGCTCGATACATTGTGTACATTCACTTCATACTGAAATCGGAGCTCGTCACCAATGGACATGAACCTCTCTCTCTACTGGCTCAAGTTTTGAAGGAGTTGGCAAAGAAAAACCTGCCCAGATACTCCCTGCCCAAAAGAAACCGTTTCTCTCAGCCGAAACCTGGAACTTATTGGAATCACGTCAAAGAGCAGAAGAGTTTGGTGACGTAATGTTGATGAGTGAAATATAGCATTGTTTGCAATGTTAGGCCATTTTATATACAACAGCAATGCTAAATTGTGTTCACTTTCGATGGCCAAATCTATATGATCATAACATGTCAACTAAATTTACGATCACTAAAAGAATCAACAACTGGCCGATAAAGTCTAAGGTCCACACTCCGTGTGTTTTGCTGAACTTCGTTCTTGGCTATTTTGCAAACATGTCACAGTTTGGATACCAATCCTGTCACATCATGTCAAGGCTGTTTCAAAAGCCGAAAGATGTGACAAAATAAACAAAGAAACAATTGCCTGATAGAGGCCGCAAACTTCCTGAATCAGTTTAATCAAACGAGAAAATAGTTCAAATGTGTGTATACTTTGTACATAAATAGTACGTTGAATTGTATCAAACTGTAAGAATAGTGCCTTCAGCGGAGTCCACCGTGTGATGATAGTGACAACAAGTGTCCTGCTCCCCTCTGCCAAAAAATGACTTGCCTCCATCTTCAAAGGTTTGAAATCCAAAATAGCAGACCTTCTGAAAAGAACCAAAACGGTTACAATAGCGGCGCGGCATCATGTGTGTTTGTTTCATGTTCTTTTATGGGCATTGTTTTTTTGAGCCAGGACGAAGCCAAAGGAAAAAATTAATAAGAAAAGAGCATCACACGTTGATCTGTGCTTGTGTGTGTTTTTTCCTGTGTTTCATGAATGTTTCATGATTTAAAACGTGTCACAAACACTTTCTTGAAGCCATGACTTCCAAACCCATTTTTGCTAACTGTCCGAGAAGGTGGTTTTCTTTTTGCACCGTTTTTAAAGTAGAATGACTTGTGCAGACTTACCAGTCATTTGAGATAACCAAGTTTTGAATAAATTGGGGGGGTGAACCTCTAACTCTAATGAACCTTTCAGCATTGATGTGCCAGGAGAGCTCCTTTATGGATGAAGACGAACTCGAGGCTCTAGAATGGTTTGCCACCGCCACGCACTTTGCGGTGGCTGCCCCTTGCACCAGAGTTGTTTTCTTTATGGAGCAATGGATTCCAATGACAGTCGGACCTTTGATGCTTGATGCAAGTGCATTGAGAGAGCCTTTGCTGCGTTGGGTCACAAACTATTTTTGTCATACAGGCCGAGGATGAAGATGGTCAACGAGAAAGCCAGGACAAGCCACAAGCTTAGCGTGCAAAGAGAAGATATCGAGGTTGATGTTTTTGAATAGTGCCCAAGGATCCTGGATTGGCCTGATACTCAGATGATGACAGTGTGCTGTAAAGCAGGGGAGCGCTGCTGTTCTGTGTCTTGCTTCAATCGTAGGTATCGTAAACTTAGTCTCAGGGTGCCGAACCACTGGTAGTGAGAAAGAGAACAGCGGAGAAGAATTGCGACTTAGTACTAGTACTAGAGCAAAATTGGGAGCTACTTAGCTTTAACGACTTGCAACTTGCGAGCCTCTTTACATGAATTCCTGTAAAATTATTTGTGTAATCTCCTATAGAAATAGTTTAATAAGAGCAATCCATAAATATACTAAATCCTCTAGAAGAAGACCTATAGACTGAAGGGCAGACAAAGATCATATATAATAGAAATTAATATGATGGACTAATTTTAATCCATTGAAAGCCTTTTGGGCATCAACTTCACTATGGATGTCGCAGCACTTTCAAATTCCAAAGAAGCCAATGCCGTTTTTGTACCGACCGAGACCCCTGCACAGTGCTTCCTGCCACTTCCTGGTATAGTGCAGTCGTTTTGTATGACTTGAACAATTGCAGCTAAAGGTGACACCAGGAGGTAGGGGACGTCAAGGAATTGGCTTTGCCGTCGTAACCATTAAAGCTCAGTAATTACAACGTTCATCAATATTCAACTTTGGATATGTTGGGCCTGGCCAGGAATCCCAAACAGGGCACACCTGTATACATACATATATGTGTGTATATACATACATGTGTGTGTATAGACATATGATTTCGGGACCTTTAGCATTCATTTTGCGCGCGCGATGATAAGGACAGATTTCTTTGCACAGGGCGCTGTCTTAATTACAAACATTAGAGACACACATGATTTAAATTGGAATTGTGTTTGATATGTATAATTCCACCCGATGTGAAATCAACTGGGTAGCTGTTTAATGTCTACATTGTTTTAAATACTAGTTTATTGTGTTGTTTTGATTGTACATGGAAATGCATTCAGCCACTCAAGATCCTGAGTGGCTGAGTGGCTGGCAGTGTGGATCCTGAATGACTGAGTGGCTGAGTGGCTGACAGTGTAGATCGTGTGGTGGTAGTAGTAGTAGTAGTAGTAGTGGTGGTAGTAGTGGTTGTAATCGGGGTAGTAGTAGTAGTAGTCGTCGTCGTCGTCGTCATTTTTAGTAGCAGCAGCAGCAGTCGTCGTCGTCGAGCTCATCATTTCCCTATAAGGTGTGATGTGTGTGGCACTTCTATGACCTCCCTAGTTCGCCTCAAAGCTTTTGCCGACGACGAGCTTCCCGTTTGATGTCCAAAGCTGGAGAGATGTAGATGAATAACCCGAGTTGAGCAGAAACTATGCACCCTCAGGTGCCAACCATCAACATCCGGAAGTGACCGTCCAGTGACCGTAGATTCATTGAACAACCTGCAGCACACTCTCTCTCGCATCCTTTTCCCAGGTCTTCGCCGACATAGGTAACACGATTCACAGCGAGATAGCAGCTCCACATGGCCATGCCACTTCGACGCATGCCACGCGTGAGCGGCGCGAGTGGGTTGATCAGTGAAGCCTTTCAGACACCAAACGTCGGCCAGGAAGCTTTTGCTCAACACATTTATGCAAAATGCTTCGCCCAAGCAGGAAGCACACAAAATAGATCTATGCAATTCTACGCACGCAAACGGATCCTGAAACCTGAAATCCAAAACCGAACAAACACTTCAAAATTTGCAAAGGATCCAGAAAAGACCCCATGAACCCCACGGTGTGCTTGCAACAAGCGAGCCCCACAGGAACGATCAAATCCTTGGAGCCCATAAAAACACACGCTGGTCCTTGTCATGAGGTGGCACTCCGCACCCAATGTCGCCGGGAGCACGTCGATCCTGGTGGGATTTCCCAGCTTCTGATTTGTTCAGACATGAAGTAGAAGAAAAACGGCAGAATCGATGCGCCTGAGCAACTGAGCAACTGAAGTGTTAGCGCAGAAAACTCTCCGCCAGCCGCCAGCCAGAAGTGTCTATCTCCATCCACCCATCGATCTATATCTATCTGTCTATCTATCTATCTATCAAGCCTCTGACTGCGCAAATCCTGACCAATAGCGGTCAGCGTCGCTCCGTGCCGCTATGACCTTGGCACACCCGGGTGCATGACCATGGTGTCCCGGCGCCACCTTTGGCATCGATTCTTGCTGCCTCTCTCGGTGCTGGCACTGCTGCCTTGGCTTCTGCATTGCTCTTGAAAGGATCCCCTGGCCGCGCCTGCAAATCGTTTTTGGACGCAGTCCGGTCCCAAGTCCGGGCATCTTGGAAGAGTTGATCGTTTGGGTTCTTTTTCATACTGAAGATGAGAGGTGAGGGTGGAGTCAAGACCCCACTTGATTCCAGAGGAGGTGGCCTTACTTTTGATACCAATGAGACCTCCTCCAAAATTTGTGGTAAAGGGCATCAAGTATCCCTCGGGATTTCGACAGCCAAGACTCAATTTAAGATTGCTAAAAGAAGCTTTCGACGATTAACCAAAAAGCTTCATGCCTCTGGTTTTGCCATCTACCATGGCACCATACACCTGGGAGCACCTCATGCAATTGGTTGTGCCGCTACCTGGAGCTCTCAGCCTGCACGACGCAGGCCACGGCCCTCGGTCTTGAGTTGGAACTGTGCTGCATTATCCTCTGGAGACTATGCCGGCTCTGGTGGTCTACACAGCATGGCTTTGACATAGTACTCCTCCAGTCGACCTATTGGAATGCACCTCAACCTTGGCAGACCTATGGGTACACTGTCATTCCTTCTGCTGAAGAGGTGTCCGGGGGAGGGGGATTGTTGACACTTGACACTGATTCGAACTGTCCATTCGACCAGATCAGCATGATTGACCCCATACCTGGTCGTCTACAGCATACCAGATGCTATACAAGTAAGGGGACACTGGACATCGTCAATGCCTATCAATTTCCACAGGGGGTGACAAAGTTGAGACCCTTTCCTCAGGCCTCCAGGAACAAATTTTGGCAACAGCTGGAACAACTGTTGAGATCTTTGCCTTTTTATAATATTTTGTTGATCGGAGGTGACATGCACCACTTTGAGGTCGACAAGTCAGACTCCAGGTGATTACACCACCTTGCGAGATCTCATGCAGGTGACTGACCTCCCTTTGTGCTCATGACCGAGCATTCAGCTACAGTGGCCCGAGGGGTCAGAGCAACATCGACTTCCTGCTCACGCGCAAGCCCCACTCAGATAGCCTTTCACATGATGCACGGTGCTTGACACAATTCCCCATGTTGGCACACAGGGATTACCCTGATCATCGTCCTCTCATTGGGTCCATTCCGCTGGGATGGAAGGTGTGGCTTCACAACCCCAACACCACACCACCCAAATTTGCCAGATGCTCCAATCGTTTGCTTCAACAGGACAGGAACGAGCACACCGAGACCTGGGCTGGAGCTCTTCAACAGTCTCAGGCCGTGGTTACACAGGTCGGGCGTGATGATTTTCAGTCTTTGGTCGATCAGCTAGATCAGGCTGGTATCACCAGAAACCTGTCCAGAAGATTCCAATTAGGCTACCAAATCACTCGTTGCACTCAAATGGCACCATCTTCATGAGGCTCGGTACCCACTTCGTGCTCTTACCACCTTGGGGAGAATCATGCATTGTTGGCAACATATGGCGAAACATTGTAACCTTCATCATCAGTTGAAGCAGCATAGCAAACAGAGAAGGAAAGAGGAAATCCTGGAGGTCACCGACAAGGCATGCGGAGCCGCTCATTGTCATGATTCCCGTGGACTCTATGAGGCAATCAAAGCACTCACACGGGACCTTGCTCAATCCCACTGAAGAGATGCAGATTCTGGAGGATCACTTCCGTTGGATCTTTCAGGCGGAGCGGCCCTTGTGCACTCTACCGCAAGTACCACCATTGATCCTGACCTCTGAAGAAATTGAGCAACAACTTCTTGCTATCAAAGAGAACAAAGCAGTTGCACCCAACTCCATTCCGGCCACCCTGGCCAAAGCACTGGCAGGTCCATTGGCAGAGTGGCTACACCGGTCAAGAAGCCCACTGACCGACCCTGTCACACCTGAGACCAAGCCTGCACCACTGCGCCAGGCAATGCTGGCCGGCCCTGACCTCCCAGTTGCTGATTACTGGAATTCCCATGAATGGTGTGCCTGGCTCAGCAAGCATTGCAGTATTTGCAAGGAGCAGATCCGGATGCAATTCACAATCACCTCCAAGCTAAACATGTGAAAGTTTTGGGGAAGGGTGAAGCTCTTCTCCTTTCGTGTCAATGCACCAGACCAGATTGCTGCACCTATTGCCTCGAATCTGAAGGGATCGTACGTCGTAGAGGTCTGCCCACTCGCCATCAACCTTGCTTCCCACCTTGTGGACCATGCCAGCCATGGATGTGGACGAAGCAGAAATGGCCATGCAGCCTTCGGCAATCTCTTGAGCGGCGTCGCCACAGGGCCGTCCAACAAATGGAGCAAGGTAGAACACGAGGAGGGATATGGAACTTATTCAGACCTTCGCAGAGTGAAATCCATACTCACAGCTCTCACCCTTCGCCAAGAGGGTCAGCTCCAAGCAGTGGCAACGATGGACAGCTTTGTGCTCTTCCTTCAGCTTGCCCCAACAAGAATGCCTGTCCTGATCGCAAGGACGGCGGAGTGGAAGAAACCGCGGCCCTGAAACACACCTTGTTTCAGACGGTGACCGTAACACTGCTCGATCGAATCCTTCGACAAGCACCGCATGGCCACGAGATTGTCAAGGAGGCCATGCAACGCTAAGTCATCGACGATCAATGCCAGTGGCCCTTTCTCCAATGGGATTCGGAAGCCAAGAAGATGAAACAGACAAACAAGAAGCCTCTCACGAAAGCACATCCAGAAGATGGCCGAAGAACTGGTCGAGGTTGCCTCGCAGGAGACCGAGAAGCCTCAAGAGATGGCCTGGAGCTCACGACCTCCAAGATCGGTCCTTGGTTGGTTCAGCTCTCTCTGAGACAGAACCGC